ATGACATTGGACAATATTCCCAATAGCATTTGGTGTTGGAAAAATAGAAAGTGGGGATTCATGGATATGGTTCTTATCAAGACTCACAAATGTATTTGGGACATCAGCTCTTTGTCTATCGTATCTGATAGAGCCAATTCCATTGAAATGAACATTCAAGCTGGGTCCCCCCTATGCATATCACAGATTCTATTGTCGTTATTTGTTGATGGATATGCAAACAAAGATCTAGAAACAAGAAAGAATTAAAAAAATTTGTTTTTGGAGGCTACAAAATCTTACCGAGCATCTTATTTTAATAAAAGTTTTGCTACGTTACGATATGTGCTATCTGATGAATGTTGTACATGGATAGACAGAATCGCTAACAAGAAACAGGCAAGGTCGTGTTTCCCAGTGGTTCATTATAATTTAATGACATCAAACAACATTGAGCCCATCAATACGTTATCAAAAGACACAAAAACCAAGTAGAAATTGTGATGCCTAGTTTCCTCCAGATTCAACAAAAACCAATCTTCAAGTCGGATCAAGTCAAGTGTCAATGAACAAAAGCATTAGCTTTTTGCAAAACCATTATTAACATTGGACTACTGACAACTAACAAGTTATAAAGATCATAAGACCATGTGTTAATTTTAGTAGCCAATATACAAAATTGGCAACCCTTTTTACTCTAGTGGACCTAGTGGTAGATTAGATATATTGTAGTTTATCAATAACAAATAATGACACCACAAAGGGCTTCACAGAATTTCAAAATTTAACAACGCAGAAACGGTATAAATGGAAAGCCCTCTTAATAAATAATCGCAGGAAAGTGAATCATACTGCTTAATCAAAGTGGTTCAGATCGGATCACAAGTCAGTCGAACACATAAGCAGGAAAGATGTGAAATTTTCTAAACATGTTAGTTGATTCCCTGGTGAGTTGAGTCGTTTCCTCACACAGAAAATAAAGTAGTACCATATAGAATTCTTCTATGAATCTCATTATTAAGAAGTAAAAGGTATTAATAAAATGAAAATAAGTAAAGAAATAGAATTTATATTACAATAAAGCATACTTTCATAAATATAGAGACTCCCAAGATTAAGAACAATTAGTTTAGACTGTAACTTTTATAAAAACTGAGCAGCTCGTTTTAAGAAGACGAAAATACCTTGTTATATATTTAACAAGGTTAGGAAAGAAACTATTTATTGAGTGCTCGACATAGAAGCTTCTCACACTATCTTCATCAAGGTGTAATGTAGCTTCTCTTTGGATGCTGAAGCCAGAATCAATAGCACAAAGGGCTTCATTGTCATATATTCCCATCGTTGACTCTCTTATTGTTCTTGTCTAAGCAATCCGAAATCGAGACGTAAACATAAGTATCAAAGATATGGATTTCACCCCTTTAAACCTAATTTTCGATACCAAGAAGAAAAAGGGTGGATTTGATTCCTCGTTGCTAAGGATTCACACATGTATGCTAACACCACCATCAAAATTGACAGCACCATCTCTAAAATTGACCGGAAAGCACCTCCATCCATCATCATCGGCGAATCCATCCCAATCTCCCTTCTTTTTGTCACTTCTCACATAAGAAAAACAAGAGGGGAGAGTCGATCGTGAAGATGAAAGATAGAAATAAGGTATCAAAGAACAAGGAGGGTTTTCAAAATTTTAGGGCTCTCGTTTTCCCCCGTTAACAAGAGACGCGCGTTTCATTAAAATTATAAAGTGATGGTTATAGAGGACATGCGTTTAAGATAACGCGCTGTTAAATTTATAAAGTGACAGTTATAGAGGATGCACGTTTAAGATAGCGCGCCCCTCTTTTATTTTTTATTATAAGACACTAATTTAAGAGAACACAATAATACGTGACCTAAATCCTTAAATTTTTTGGAGAGATAACACTATTTTAAGGTCACTCTCTTTTGCGTAACATAAATCACTGCATGTCGTGGTTTGCATGTCATTAAAGGCATATATTTTAGTATTGTTAAAACATCAAATAAAGTTAGAGGATAGGATAGATGTATCACACTATTGTGTTGTTCTAATAATAGATCATTTACACAGAATTGCAAAGTCTCATCACATATGGTTTTAAACGTTGAATCATTAACTTCTTTAATAGAAGAAATGTTGGGAAAGAGTAGGTAGGTGCGTATAATATATCACGGACAATGATACACCAATCGACACCGAGTTTTCGAATTTTCATCATCGTCTGGCTTCATACACTGAATCATGAAATTCTAAAGAAGAAAATATGGCGAGAATTGATTGGTGCGTATGAAATTCTACTGTGTATATATTTTGCATCATCAAATCTATATAATTGAGTAACCCTTGATATATTATTTTAATTAGAAGCAAAGTTCTTTTTGGGTTTCCCACATAATCAGAAATAGCTAGAAATGATATTAGGAGAGACATGAAATGATTTGTTAATATATTATATGATTAATTTATTAATTAGAAATAGATGATTGATTTATTAATTTATTATATGATTAATAAATTAATATGAGATGAATAGTTGAATAATTAATTGTTAATTTATATGATTAATAAATTAATATGAAATCAATAAGAATTAATAACTAATCAGATTTAATTGGAATTAATTTCTAGATTAACTGGAATTAGTTAAAGGTTCAATGGGTGAATTGTAATTGTTCAATAGTTGAACAAAAGAAACAATTCTAGAACCATCTATGATATATATAGTTTTGGAGGAGTTCCTAGGGTTTCTGGAAGCATCCTGATTACAGATAAGAAAACAATTTGAACTAGGATAAAATATATTATTTAATTAATTCAAATCTAGATTCATCTGCAAGTTACCTAAACTATAAACATGACTCCTTGGCTTGTAATTTCGGTTCATGACATTCCCAAGAAGCATATGAACAAAATTTCATCCTCCCTCCTATCTCTCCTATTTGTTTTAGGGTTTTAAGAGTTTTGGGTGTGAGTCATTAGCAACATCATACTATTGGTGCTTGCTTTCTGAAGTTCAAGGAAGGATTCAAAAGTATTGTTAGTTATAACAATGCAAAGGTATGCAACCCTAATCTTATGATTTTTTTATTATAGCTAGGGTTCTTATAGTTTCATAGTATGTTGTTATTAATTGTAAAGATGTGGATCTTTAGATTGCATGTACCCTTAAGTGTTAAGAGAATTTCCGCAAGTACATTGAAGTTGTAACCTTAAAATTCCATTACCAACAAAGGTGGCCCTTTAGTGACGCTCGTTGCCACTAACAATCATTATTCTTGTTGTGTATATTAATGTTGGAAAATGGTTGAAGGTTAGAGAAGACCTAAGACTTTCATTTTATAAGTAAATGTTCAACGATAGAGTTCGCGTAGGATATGAGCAAAATGGTGGCACTTATTGTTAACAAGCTTCATAAATTATTTAATTTTGGTGTCCTTAGGTGCTATAATGTGTATTAATGTTAACGTGACCATATGTACGGTTGTGCTTCAACAGCTGCACATTAGGAACGAGACCAAATATTGTAAAATTAATAATAGGGTTGAAGGTTAGAGAAGACCTAAGATTTTAATTTTGTAAGTAAATGATGCCATCATAATGATGACACCTCTTACTAACAAACTTCAAAATTTGTTTCTCTTTGGTGTCCTTAGGTTTTATTGTTTTTTGGTGTTGTTTATTTTTGGAGTCCTTAGTTATTAGTTGCTAAAGTGTTTGTTAATGTTAGCTTTTATTTTGGAGTCTTTTGGTGCTTAGTGTTCATAAATGTTAGCTTCTATATTGGTATTGTTTATTTTGGAGTTCTTAGTTTCCGTAGAGTCTAGTATTTATCAATGTTAGCTTATGTTTTGGAGTCCTTGGTGTTATAGTTTTTTGGTGCCGCTGGTTTAGAACTTCAAAGACTTTATTTTTTATATCAATTATGCAATTGAAAGAGAAGCAAGTGTTCATTAATGGTAATGTGACGGTATATATCATAAAAAAGCAAGCAATTCAACCACTGCATATTAGGTACTTGACCAAATGTTTTTGAATAGGTTATATTTATGTCGTTTTTGGTAGTATCATACAATCACAATCTTGCAAAGCGAAAAACAATCGTATATAAGATGTCGGCCTTGACAACATTAGTGTTAGACTGTTAAAGTTTATATTAATATGTTCTCATTCCAAACAAATAAACATATGCAATAATTTTAGTCACTTTGGTTAAATTTAGCCTAACTAACACTATCGACAACCTATCTCCGAATGTGCCAAAAGATCTATATACTTACCAGCTAAATATATGAAATCTAATAACACCAAAATCGAATTCTCCATCTTGAACAAATCCTATAGATGATTAGCTCCAAATCAACATCCCCTGGCGTACATGCTTTCTAGTGCCATTTGTCCAAACAAATATGGTGATTTAGCTTCACAGGCAGTATCATCATCACAAATCTTCGTTGTGGCCCTCTCAAGAGATTGAAGAACATCCTCATTGGTCACAAAATCACCACCTAACAACATACCCAAACACAATCAAGACATTGCTATATCTAAACACTCAACGAAATGTTAAGTTTAGCACAAACCTCTACGAGCAGCAAGCATTACAGCCTCATTAGCTATATTTTCAAGATCAGCCCCAACTAACCCTAGTGTACGTGAAGCAACAAGGTCACAAATGACTAGTTTGTCCTCCTCCATTGGCACCTTTTGTAAATATAAATCAAGAATCTTTCTCCTTCCATTTTCATCCGGTTTATCCACAACCACTTTCCTGGAAAACCGACCCCGTCTCATCAAAGCAGAATCCAATAACTCGGGTCTGTTAGTAGCAACTATAACCACCACGGTTGCACCCTTCTCAAACCCATCCATCTCTGTTAAAAGCTAATACATCAAAAGACGAGATTCTATGTCAACTATTTGATTGTTTGACTTTGATCATGAGCATAAAATTAAAATTATATTTACCTGGTTTAAAGTTTGGTCACGTTCACTATTAAAAGATAACAGCGTCTATCTCATCAATGAAAATAATCGACGGTGAACGTTTTCTCGCATCATGGAAAAGATCTCTACCAGGAAAAATCTCAACAAATTCACTAGCAGACATCGAGAAAAACGCCACGTCAGCTTCTCCGGCCACTGCACGGGCCAACAATGTTTTTCCAGTTCCCGGGGGACCCGCAAGCAAAACCCCTCGTGGTAATTTCGCCCCAAGTTTCATATATTTACTATCTCCTTTAATGCATAAGACAATCTACAAAAGCTCAACATGGATGCAGGATTTATAATCTTTCTTTCATCATATCGTAATTCATAATAATTAAGAAGCAAGGGAACACATTAGTAAATTACCTCGAGAAGTTCAGCTTTGGCAGCATCAACTCCTTCCACATCAGCGAAAGTTATGGATTGTTTCTATTCAGTTTTTTATTTTTTATTTTTCCAATATTTTGCCAACTGTATAGGTGATACCAATAATACCAGATATCGAGCAAGGTAGGGGCAAAATAAAAAATTTCACCCAAGAAATCTTTCATTGATTCGTTTAAAAGCTGCTGTTTCAATGGACAGGAGAAGAGGACACGAAAATAAATATCCTTCATTATTATGGATAAATGCTCAGGGTCAACTACCCAACGCGATGCTTGTTGTTTTGGTAGGATAAATGCTACAAATACACAAAAAGAAGCTCCGACCATAACCATGAATATCTTTCGGCTCAATTTGCCATCAGACATCCTTGTTGTTTTAGGACTTTTTCTTTTCACGTCTTGTGTGTCTGTAATGTAACTAAAGAAAATTATGCAATGAACTCCAGTTGTCAATGTAATGTAATCACGCATTAAAGAAAATGTTGCATACCATCTTCGGTCTCTGCAACAACAGTAGTACTGTCGTCTTTGGTCGCCCATTGATAAACGAACTTCACAGATGATGCAGATAGTCAGTAACGTTACTATACATATAAATCACACATAAAAAAATACCCATATGCTATCATTGCAAAAAATATTTACCATAACTATGCACCTAAACCGCAATTTCATGAAGAAGAAATTAATTTAATAAAAATCAGTCCACGAACCTTTTTATCCGTTTGCATGCACCACATCATCCCAACCCGACAAAGGGCCCCAAAAATCCGCGCAGTTCATGTTGCCACCGAAACCCTTGTGTTCCTGAGGAAAATCGTGAAAATAAACGGAATCTAAGAGTATGAACATGGTGTATATGACTGCATGAGATTAGGAAATGCATCATGCATATGAAAAAGAAAAATAAATAGTATTCCAGTTGACCTTTTTAAGGACTGGAGAGATAGGCACTGCAGCATGGTTCGAAGAAAGACGGAGAGACAGAGGACGCGTGGGGGAGGATGTTGGTGGAGTATATGAGAAATTCTTTGTCAAGCGAGAAGTACTCGAGAAACTACTTTTACATCGAGGAGGAGGTTGTTGCGTGGATTTTAGGGCAATCATGATCAACGGAGGGATCAACAAAAGCGGAGTGGTCATCCAAAGGTTTCCCGTGTCGCCATGGAGGCTTTTGGTGTCTGTGCAGCGTTCAAAAAAAGGTTTGCCATCGGCATGGGAGCTTTTAGTGTATGCGCAATCATCATCGGCGGGTTCAACAAAAGATTTGCGATCACCACTGTAATAAAATTGACAGTGGAAGAGATGAATCAAGGAGTTTATCAATTGTTTTATATATCTCATAAAAGTTACAGGGGAATGACCTTTTATACGTGAGCCAAACAAAGATAACAAACCTAACTGACTTCAAGGAAAAGATAATTATCATCCATATAAAAGATAAATACTACATAGATGTCTAGATAATCTAAACGGTATAAAATAAGTTCCATTACTCCCCCTCAAGTTGGAGTATGTAGATTACGAATGCCCAACTTGACAACCAAGGCTTGAAGTCTTTCAGATCCAAGTGGTTTAGTAAAAAGGTCTGCCAACTGATTTGTTGTATGAATGGCAATTGGTTCAATCTCTTTAGACTCGACTCTTTCTCGAACAAAGTAGCAATCCATTCCACATGTTTGGTACGCTCATGGAAAACTGGATTATGAGCAATGTGGCGAGCTGACTGATTGTCACAGAAAAGCTTGGTAGGTGAAGAAACAGGAAGCCAAGCTCAGACAACAACCATCGCATCCACAACACTTCACTAACTGTGGTGGCCATAGCTCGGTACTCAGCCTCTGCAGACGAACGAGATACCACAGACTGTTTCTTTGACTTCCAAGAAACAGGAGCGCCACCCAGCAACAATAAATAACCCATTCTTGACCTCCTCGAGAACGGACATCCCAGCCAGTCCGAATCACTATAAGCCATGATATCGTTTCCCTCATCTTTAGATAGAAGAATTCCCTGCCCCAACGTAAACTTTAGATAACGTAGCACACGCATGGTAGCATCCCAATGACTTTGTCGTGGGTCAGCAACAAATCGACTGAGTATGCTCACTGAATAAGAAAGGTCTGGGCGAGTAGCTTGTAAATAGAGTAATCGTCCAACCAAACGCCTATACCTGCCTACATCCACACGCTCTTCTTCATCACCTTTATCTAATTTTAAATGTTGTTCCATAGGGAACCAGCTAGGACGACAACCAAGTAAACCTGCATCCTCAAGAATATCGATAGAATACTTGCGTTGACTTAGGACAAGACCTTCTTTTGTTCGAGCCACTTCGATACCGAGAAAGTATTTAAGATCTCCAAGATCTTTAATACTAAACTGTTCATCAAGATATCGTTTCGTTTCTTCAATTTTTGTACTATCATTGCCCACAACAATGACATCATCAACATAGATCAAAGCTGCAACAAAAATAGTCCCACTTTTGAAAGTGAACAATGAAGGATCTGCATGAGATGGAGCGAAATCAAGAATTTGTAAAGCAGCGGTAAACTTGTAGAACCAGTTTATAGAGGCTTGTTTGAGTCCATATATGGGCTTTTTGAGTCTGCAAACTCGGTTGTCATTTTTCTGTCCGAACCCTTGAGGCATTTTCATATAAACCTCTTCCTCAAGGTCTCCGTGTAGAAAGGCATTATTCACATCTAGCTGATTAATTATCCAATCATTCTTGATGGCAATTGTTAAAAGGACACAAACTGTAACCAATTTAGCCACAGGTGCGATAGTGTCGTGAAAATCTACTCCTTCCATTTGTGTATAGCCCTTAGCCACGAGCCTTGCTTTGTACCTTTCAACTTCACCGTTAGGCTTGTACTTGATCTTGTACACCCATTTGGAATCTATGGCGCGTTTACCTTTTGGTAAATATGTTACCGCCCACGTATCATTCAACTCAAGAGCTTTTATTTCTTTGTGCATGGCCATTCTCCATTCCGGATCACGAGAGACCTGTTTGAAATTTTTGGGCTCATTGTGTGCCACAATGGCCACTAGAAAAGATTTATGAGAGTTAGAAAATTTTTCATATGAAACATAGTTAGTGAGAGGATGTACTATGGAAGCGACTTGATTGGGAGTACCTTGTGAGTGGTTGATGGATGGGGGCAGTGTGACGTTGTAATCTTTGAACCGAGCTGGTGGATTTTTGATTCTGTCGGGGCGAGCCGTTCTATCTGGGCAGGCGGAACTTTCAATATTTAACTCTGTGTCAGTTTCGTTATCATGTGCTTGCGAGGTATCTTGGACTGATGCAGTATTATGGGCTGACGGCGCTGTATCGAGCTCGTGCGTCGACTCCAGCGAAGGCAAAATGGCCACCTGTTGATCCGCCGGCTCCTCCACAATGGGCCCGCTGTTGTATATTGGGTTGGGTTCATGCGTCCTGCAGCCTGCTTCAAATGTACATTCCTCAGACTCCACATTATTGTCTAAATTGCTCATGGGAAATGTATCCTCCAAAAAACGAACGTCTCTAGATATGATAATTTTATGGCTTTCCAAATCATAAATCTTATAGCCCTTAACACCTTGTAAATACCCCACAAATATTCCCGGTCTCCCACGAGGCTCGAACTTATCTCCGCCAGTTTCTGTGCTACGGTAATATGCTAAACATCAAAATACTCGCATATTATCATAGCTAGGCTTTTGACCATAAAGAATCTCATAAGGTGTCAACCCATTCAAGACCTTTGATGGCATTCTATTGATGACAAAAAGTAGAAGTTAAAATACACTCTCCCCAAAAATGCTTTGGTAAATTTGCCTCAAACCTGAGAGCTCGCGCTGTCTCGAGAAGATGACGATGCTTACACTCCACAACTCCATTTTGTTGTGGAGTGTAAGGGCACGACGTTTCAAGAACCATCCCTTCCTTTGCATAAAATTCTCACATGGCATTAGATACAAATTCTCCCCCGTTGTTGCAATGTATGTGTTTTATTTGTTTATTAAACTGGGTTTTGATCATCCTGCAAAAGTCTATTAGACATGTACTAGCTTCATCTTTGTGTTTAAGAAGAAAAGTCCACACAGCACGACTAAAATCATCCACTATGGTTAAAAAATAAAAAGCTTTATTTAACGAAGGAGTTCTATATTTTCCCCACAAATCACAATGAATTAATTCGAAACAAGAAATCGTCTTTATTGTACTAAGTGGAAAAGGTAGCCTTGTGTGTTTTGCTTTGTAACAGGCATCACAATTTGTAGTCTTATTTGAAACATCTTTAATAAAATCTAAAGTAGAAATCTTCTTATTTGAGGAATGTCCAAGTTGCTTGTGCCAAACTTCAAAATTGACCATAAGAGCTTGATGCTTCTTTGCCTCCCCCATCCGGTACAACCCTTCTGAAAAGTTACCCGCACCAATCAAGTGCTTCGTTGACAGATCTTGCATCTCAAAAAATCGTGGAAAAAAGGTAACGACACAATTGAGGCTATTTGTAAGTCTCCCAACCGACAAAAGGTTATAATTGAAATCTGGCACGTGTAAAACACGATTTATTTTAATCCCACCGGACAAAAAATGAACACCTTCTCCCTCAACAGACACCTTTTCACCATTAGGGATGACAACAGGTGTCTCTTTCGGGTTTTTAGTGACATTTTCTAAAAAATCGATTCGATGGGTGATGTGTTCAGTAGCTCCTGAATCCACAACCCATTCACAATTAGAATCAATTTTACCTGCCATATGTGCCATTGGTTTAGTGTTTTTACCGTCGACAATGTTCTCCTCCTTAAAATGGTTCACGAACAAGTGATATTGCTCGTCAGTCAAACCTGCGATGGGGCTAGGCCCAAGCTCTACACATGTTTCCTTGGTTCATGGTTTGTCTTTCTTTCCGGGAACCAGTCGGGATAGCCGATTATCTTGAAACACCCATCTCTGTTGTGTCCTTCTTTTGAACAGGAAGTACAATACTACTTTTTATCATTTTCTGATTTTTGATATTTTGAAGTGCCTTTGTCAGAGGGCTGTTGTGATGACTGTGATGACTGATATTGTTGCCTCCCTTGATTTTGTTGAGCCCCCTTGCGATTTGAGTGATTAACTTGAAATGCAGTCGCTTCAGCTTTCGGCCTCTTTGACACTGTTGTTATTGCTCGTTGCTGCTCATCTTCAGCGAGAAGGTGGTAACAGTGGTTAATGGGGGTGTGGGTTTCATCGCTAAGATTTGGGTACGAATCACCGAAAAATTGTCATCCAGACCCATAAGAAAGTCATATGTCCTTCTTTTTCTTTCAGTTCGTTTAACATCTTTCCAATGTTGCATTTACATCCTTCACAGGCACAACGAGGAGTCGGGAGAACGAGTTGCAACTCATCCCAAATCGATCTCAACTTGGTATAGTAATTAGAAACAGTTGTACCTCCTTGTCTTATGGAGTTTAGGGTCTTCTTAAGCTCGTATGCTCGTGGGGCTCCCTCCTTCTCGAAATGTTCCTCCAAATCTCTCCATATTTCTGACGAGGTCTTCACATACCTCACATTGGTCCTTATTTCTCACTCCATTACAGTCGTCAAGCACCCTTTTATCATAGCGTCATCCCTTACCCATGCAAGAGACATTGGTGGTTCAGCTCCTGGTTTCTCGATAGTTCCGTCGACTAGTCCCATCTTGTTTTTCGCCAACAAGAAATTGGTCATCTCTTGTTTCCATTCGTTGTAATTGTGATCGTTCAAGACATCATTCACTTGCATCTGTTTGGGATAATCAGA